ATCAGATTAGGAAGTAGATTAGTAGGTTTAGATTAGAAGTGAATGTATGAGGGTAGGAAGTATATTAGTATGTTTAGAATAGAAGTGAATGTATGAGAGTAAGAAGTAGATTAGTAGGTTTAGAATAGAAGTGAATGTATGAGAGTAGGAAGTAGATTAGAAGGTTTAGAATAGAAGTCAATGTATGAGATTATGAAGTATATTAGTATGTTTAGAATAGAAGTGAATGTATGAGAGTAAGAAGTAGATTAGTAGGTTTAGAATAGAAGTGAATGTATGAGAGTAGGAAGTATATTAGTATGTTTAGATTAGAAGTGAATGTATGAGAGTAGGAAGTAGAGTAGTAAGTTTAGAATAGAAGTCAATGTATGAGAGTAGGAAGTATATTAGTATGTTTAGAATAGAAGTGAATGTATGAGAGTAAGAAGTAGAATAGTAGGTTTAGAATAGAAGTGAATGTATGAGAGTAGGAAGTATATTAGTATGTTTAGAATAGAAGTGAATGTATGAGAGTAGGAAGTAGATTAGTAGGTTTAGATTAGAAGTGAATGTATGAGAGTAAGAAGTAGAGTAGTAAGTTTAGAATAGAAGTCAATGTATGAGAGTAGGAAGTATATTAGTATGTTATGTATGAGAGTAAGAAGTAGATTAGTAGGTTTAGAATAGAAGTGAATGTATGAGAGTAGGAAGTAGATTAGTAGGTTTAGAATAGAAGTGAATGTCTGAGAGTAGGAAGTATATTAGTATGTTTAGATTAGAAGTGAATGTATGAGAGTAGGAAGTAGAATAGTAGGTTTAGAATAGAAGTCAATGTATGAGAGTAGGAAGTAGATTAGAAGGTCTAGAATAGAAGTCAATGTATGAGAGTTGGTTCATTAGATTAGTAGGTTTAGAACTAGTAGGTTCATGCTTTGGTTTGAGAGAACAGTTTGAAAAGGTTGATGATTGAGGAGGAGGTTGGAGAGTAGAAGTTTCTTCTGTAAACCTTGTAAGGATTCTTTTTCTTCTCCTCCATCAGACTGGACACTGTACCTGGAGAAGATTGAAGTAAGAAGGTTTCAAACCTCGGGACAGATTTCAATCTTGTAGATTGAGTAAGAACTCTCTTCTAAGATCAATAACAATAAAACCTGAAACCATCTCTCTCAGTAGTTTGTAATGGGTAGAGACTAGAGCCTGGTGTTTGCGTGTGTTCGTGAGTGAGAGTGCTAGTGAGTGAGTGGGTGAGTGAGTGAGTGAGTGAGTAAGTGAATGAGTGAGTAAGCTATTACGATATTAATGAGGATGACCGAGTGAAGATGAATGATGAAAGATAGGAATCTAAAGACAGGAAACTCAACCCAATTAAATACCCAGGGTTCACTACTCTTGTCTCGAGGGGACGGTTTTCCACCAGAAAGATCTATTGGACGGTTTCTCCGACGACGTAAACAATGTTCGTTATGTGAGGTCTATCTTATATTCAATGTTCTATCTTATATTCAATGTCTATCTTATATTCAATGTTCTATCTTATATTCAATGCGAAAGGAACTCTTATTTTCTAATCAGCATATATTTGTAACCTCATGCGTGTAAAACTTTGATATTTAAAACTTTGACTATTTGATTTAAGCAGAATTCTTACATAGTTTCTAATTTTATATGTCAGGGACCGACTGTAATTAATTGAAGAGTTCGCGGTTCAAAACATGAATCACCGTGTCAAATCCTCATGAATCTTTAACTTTGAATCGATGATTCGAGATATAAACCGGCGGCGATAGGTAGTTGAGCGACCCAGCTCAAATTCATTAAATTTGGTCCCTGGTTGCAAAGATAAAACCATTAAGAACTAAAATTTTGAGGTTTTCCAAAAACTAAAGGAGTAAAGATGTATGAGTAAGCATTAAAAGTGTTAGAAAGAATGAGAAAGAGAAATAAGAGGGGATAAAAGAAAAAATAAGAAAGGGAGAGGAGAAGAAAATGATTATTAGAGATATGGAAAACAATAAAAGATGGTCTTAATAATAAAAAGATCAATTATATGACTATTTGGATGGATAAGGATGAGATCAGATTGGAGATAGAATCATGGATATCCCAGACCATAATCCAATATGGTTCTAAGATGCTGGGATCATGAAGTGATAATTGCAGTTTATCCAACATTAAATAATGTTTGCAGACTGAAATGATAGATATTGGGGAGAATTATCACTTGAAGTATTCATCCTTACTCTATATAGTATATACTATATACACCTTAACCCTGATACTTAAACCGAACACGCCCTTCCCTCACATCATTCATACTCCAATCATTACTAAACATACAGACGGATTCCGCTCAGTACAATCCACTTTATCTCAATCTTGGAATATTCAATCCTTTTTTCAATTCTCAATATTTACATATTTATTCATATTTCACTTTATCCCATAAATAAACATTTATTTTCTATTTTACAGAGAGATGTATTTTACTTAGTTAGTGTGAATTATATTTCAGTGCTTATTTCTTATTATAAACAACAAAACTGATTTACCATGGTTTTGTGTGGGACATGGCAGGTCTAAACAAGATATATACATATATATATATATATATGTATACAATTCACTGTTTAAAACTTTTTATCGATGATCTTAAAGATCTTTCCGATCTTGGCACACTTTGAACCCTACCTAGCACCTTCTTAATGTTCCTCTTTATGTTACAATCTCCCTTTCTCTACTAGCACAATCTATACTGACACTATCATCATCTCTGAGTCAAGTAAGATCTAATCTTCACAAACTACTATAATAAGTCAGACCTGGAGAACAATTGTTCTTTCAATCCTGGAGATTGGACCAATCATATTCTTAAACATATGCTCTGCAGATCAGGATTCAAAAACAGAATTCTGACTCAAATTGGTTAGATGTTAACTCAATCTGGTTAGACTTTGACTCATTTTGGTCAGAATTTAACACAATCTGGTTAGAATTTGACTCAGTCTGGTTAGAATTTGTGTTAAAATCGTGTTAGAATTTTCTCAATCTAGTTAGAATTTGATTTATACTGGTAAGCATTTTCTTAATCTGGTGAGAATTTAACTCAATCTCTCATAATTCAATTGGATTAATTATTTTTATAACAATATAATTGAGTTGGATTAGAAAACAGAATTTGATTGGAAAGCAGAATGGGATTAGATAACAATTGGATTGAATAACGTAATTGGATTGGATAACAGAATTGAATTAGACATTAGAATTTGATTGGATAACAAAATTTGATTGCATAACAGAATCGGATTGGATAACATAATTGGATTGGATAACATAATTGGATAGGATAACATAATTGGATTGGATAACAGAATTGGATTAGATAACAGAATTTGATTGGAAAGCAGAATGGGATTAGATGACAATTGGATTGAAAAACGTAATTGGATTGGATAACAGAATTGAATTAGACATTAGAATTTGATTGGATAAAATAATTGGATTGGAAAACAGAATGAGATTGGATAGCAGAATTGGATTGGATAACATAATTGGATTGGATAACATAATTGGATAGGATAACATAATTGGATTGGATAAAATAATTGGATTGGAAAACAGAATGAGATTGGATAGCAGAATTGGATTGGATAACAGAATTGGATTGCATAACAGCATTGGATTGGATAACGTAATTGGATTGGATAACAGAATTGAATTGGACATTATAATTCGATTGGATAACATAATTGGATAGGATAAAATAATTGGATTGGACAACAGAATTGGATTGGAAAACAGAATTGGATTGGATAACAGAATTGGATTAGATAACAGAATTGGATTGGAAAGCAGAATGGGATTAGATAACAATTGGATTAAATAACATAATTGGATTGGATAACAGAATTGGATTGGATAACAGCATCGGATTGGATAACATAATTGGATTGGATAACATAATTGGATTGGATGGCAGAAAAGATAATAGTGGATAGATTAGGAATGGATTAAGTTGACAGGGTTGAATGAAAGAAACCAGGTTTATCATGAAGTATAGTTTATGCCTTAATCTCCTTGTTTCCGATCTCTATAGGCCCGTGCATGTTTAGGTGTGTGACAGGATGCATTGTTCTCAGGATATTAAACAGACCTAGAGCAGTTTCCTTTTATTACACAAACCTAGATCCTTGTCCTACCATTTGCCAGGCCTGGAGAACTGTCCTTAGATTAAACAGTCCTTAAACAGAATTAGAGACATGTCCTATCCTTAAACAGAACTAGAGACGTGTCCTTTCCTAAAACAGACCTAGAGACGTTTCCTATCCTTAAACAGAACTAGAGACGTGTCCTATTCTTAAACAAAACTAGAGAAATGTCCTATTCGTAAACAGACCTAGAGACATTTCCTATCCTGAAACAGAACTAGATACGTCTCTTATCCTTAAACAGAACTAGAGACATGTCCTATCCTAAAACAGAACTAGAGATGTGCCCTGTCCTAAAACAGACCTAGAGACGTGTCCTATCCTTAAACAGACCTAGAGACATTTCCTATCCTGAAACAGAACTATGGACATGTCCTTTCCTTAAACAGACCTAGAGACATTTCCTTTCCTTAAACAGAACTAGAGACATGTCCTATCCTTAAACAGAACTAAAGAAATGTCATATACCTAAACAGACCTAGAGACATTTCCTATCCTTAAACAGACCTAGAGACGTGTCCTATCCGTAAACAGCACTAGAGACATGTTCTATTCTTAAACAGAACTAGAGACATGTCCTATTCTTAAACAGACCTAGAGACATTTCCTATCCTTAAACAGATCTAGAGAAATGTTCTATCCGTAAAAAGACCTTTGGAAAAGTCCTTTCCTTAAACAGAACTTGAAACATTTCCTTTCCTTAAACAGAACTAGAGACATGTCCTATCCTTAAACAGAACTAGAGACATGTCCTTTCCGTAAACAGCACTAGAGACATGTCCTATCTTTCATTAAAAACATTTTTTATTCAAGCCATTGAAAAAATATTACTAGTTTAATTTATTTTTATGCATATTTAACAATAATTTATACTTTACTCGAGATCTGACAAAAATGAGAAGGTGGAAGAAAGGTACACAATCTATCGGACTTGGAACCGATATGGATTCAAAATGTTCGAACCATGATAAATCACTGGAATTATTTTTAGACTGAGGTTTCTGAGCTCATCCGGAGAACGAACTTATTTGATTTAGGATCTATAATCTCCTCTGATAGAGCTAGGTGGGGTAGAGAGTGTATGGAGCAGAGTAAGGATACGTCTCCTTGTCGGAGCTGGAATATGGTTCCGTCTCCGATACTCCGGGATAGCATGGTATCACAGATTAAAGCCCAAGACTGTACTGCACTTTGCTCACGGTCATTCTGCAGATATGAAAATGAAATGAATATAAAAAAGGAAATGGAAATGGATATGGAAATGGATATGGAAATGGAAATGGATATGGAAATGGATATGGAAATGGATATGGAAATGGATATGGAAACCAGGACTGTACTGCACTTTGCTCACGGTCATTCTGCAGATATGAAAATGAAATGAATATAAAATGGAAATGGATATGGAAATGGATATGGATATGGATATGGAAATGGATATAGAAATGGATATGGAAATGGATATGGAAATGGATATGGAAATGGATATGGAAATGGATATAGAAATGGATATAGAAATGGAAATGAAAATGGATATGAAAATGGATATGAAAATGGATATGGAAATGGAAATGGAAATGGATATGGAAATGGATATGGAAATGGATATGGAAATGGATATGGAAATGGATATGGAAATGGATATAGAAATGGAAATGAAAATGGATATGAAAATGGATATGGAAATGGATATGGAAATGGATATGGAAATGGATATGGAAATGGATATGGAAATGGATATGGAAATGGATATGGAAATGAATATGAAAATGGATATGGAAATTGAAATGGAAATGGAATATAAGTACCTGAAGAACTGGAGAACTGACTAGATATTTCTCCAGGAATATATAAGTACCTGAAGAACAGGAGAGCTGACTAGATATTTCTCTAGGAATATTTAAGTACCTGAAGAACAGGAGAACTGACTAGATATTTCTCCAGGAATATAAAAGTACCTGAAGAACAGGAGAACTGACTAGATATTTCTCCAGGAATATATAAGTACCTGAAGAACAGGAGAGCTGACTAGATATTTCTCTAGGAATATTAAAGTACCTGAAGAACAGGAGAACTGACTAGATATTTCTCCAGGAATATATAAGTACCTGAAGAACAGGAGAACTGACTAGATATTTCTCCAGGAATGCTCTAGGACTCATATCAAAGGATAAACATGTTGCCAGATGTTGGAGGATGGACTCCATGGTGTGTCGAGGTTGCTGACGTGTAACTCTTAGATATTTCTGTAGGGGCCGACTCAGGCTTGGGAATACTGCTTGAGCAGCCTCGTAAGGGCTTAAGGCTTGTTTGCGACCTCCTAAAAAAATATTGGTAAAAACTTTGCGNACCCTTCCTCCTTCAAATTAATTATTTTTAGAATTATTCCCTATTTCTTCTATCAAAGAGTTTTATACCTCTAATTAAATGGCAACATGTTGATTTACGATGAATTAATTTTAACTACAATTGAAGATTTCGTCTGCGTTCATTGTACTTTTCTCCGTAGGCATTAATGAGCAGGCAAATAATTTCCTTTTCGGGATTCGTGAGAATATTATCATGATATTCCACTAAAACCCAAACCCCTCTGTTGAAATAACTTGATATTTTACTACGCGCTCCTGTTATTACCGAGTACCCGCGCTCCTGTTATTACCGAGTACCCCTACCACTTATCACCCCCCCCCCTCTTCCCCCATCTCTAAAATGCCATGACCCCCCCCCCTTCATAAATAAGCATCCGACTGGACCATGTTGAATGATGAAGTACTAATATTACTATCGAGGAATATTCAAAGTTCTCCCAAGACCCCGGGATAAAGTGTGTCTCATCAATCCTAGATTGACAGGTTTCGGTTTTTCTTTAAGATCTCAAATCTCCCACCCCCCCCGCTCTCCACTCCCCATTTCCTCTCATCAAACCAACAGGTTTAAACAATCCTGATCAAGCATCCTATCTTGAAAACTAAGCTTTTAACCAAATAAAATATGAGAATGAGATGAAAAGAAATTAGGTTTGGTAGTTTGAGACGGTTCACATATATGGGTTCTTATCCCCGTTCAATACAGGAGTATAACAATGGAACTAAACCAGTTCTAAATCAAGGGTTAAGAAGAACTAACCTGATAATCCGTCCCGCATTCTCCGGATATGAGTGAAGGACTCCTCGGCTGCAGTGATGAGCCGGGAGCGCCTCTTCCTGACCTTTCTCTCGTACTCCCCCTCCTCGTAGAACCTCTCATTGTGTGAACTGTGTCCTCGTTTGGAGACTGTGCTCACAACCGTAGAATTGCCATCCTGGAGTTTTACAGCATTTAGTTGTTAATCGTCTCAGCTTTTATAGGTTCATAAAACAGGGCTTTAAGGTCAGCAGTCAACCGGGGGACTTGAAAAGTGGAACCGCCCAACCCACAGGCCATATGCTCTCTTTTAAGAACGCAAGCCAAGCCTTTAATGGGGTAAAACAACGATAAATGACTGTTAGGGAAAATTATTGACGAGTTTCTAAAAAGTACTTACATTAATATGTCCATTCTCCAATCCATCCATATCGTAGACCTTGAATCCTTTCTTGTTCCTGGCTCCAGGTAGGACCTCTAGGTAGGGATTATAGATCGGGAAATCTACGTAATATTTCTCCAGAACGTGAGCCGCAGCGCGTTGGATCGAAAGATCTCCGAGAGTGTAGCTCTGGGACTGTCCATCCGGTGACCGGATAACTTTGACATAATACTGAACCCTGAGATGCCGGAGTTCTATCAGAATGATCGCGAGGTAGTGAACGAAAAGAAGTGCGTCAATCAATGAGAGAGCGAACTGAACAATATCTTTGTACTCGATCTTGCTCCTCTCCTCCATGAGATGAACTCCGTAGAAGAGCCAGAATGAGACGATAAATACTAAGATGAGAAGAGATACCATTGCCCTAAACACAAATATCCGGGGTAGAGTGGCCCGCGGATGCCTGAAGAAAACGCCCCACGTGCCAAGGAGAAGAATAAGTAGCTTGAAACAAAAGCTAATGAGCATTCCATCACAAGTCACATCACATTCTAGGTGGTCTTCACGTATATTGAATACGCCAACTTTGGGTAGTATCACCATTAAAATAGGACTTAAAAACGCAGCGGTCGCTAACAGTCCACTTGTAACTGATCCTAGATATTTTTGACATCTAAAGGCGAGGTTGGTCTTCTCCGGGACCTGCCACTTGGAGAGGTCCTCCATGGTGTATTCGAGGTCGGAGGCTGTTGTCACAGCTGTCGTCGTTTCTCCCCAGTTCTCGTCCTGAAACCAAACCAAACATTAATTATAATCTAGAAATTGCGGGTTTAAAATGGCCGCCGGTGATTTTAAATAAAAAGTTACCATATGTATCAAAGTTTATTAGAATCTAGCCCCCCCCCCCTAAAGGCACTTTAAGCGTAAAAATTCAAGTGATCCTTCATGCAATTTTGCAATGCCTGATTTACAACGGTACCCTTGAAACATTAACCTGATTAAAAATGTGCAAGATATCATCGTTTTTATTATTCGAAAATAGTTTATTTCTGATAAGATCTCCATTGCTTTTATTAGCAAGAAATACGCAAGTAACTTTTGCAGAGAAACTGACAATGAATGTAAACAGTTTAAAGAAACAAAAACATTGATAACTAATTCATACTTGATCAAACAAAGCTTTTAAGGGTACCGATGCAAATCTGGTATTGCCATCTTTGCATGGATGGTCACTTGAAATTACGCTTACAGTCCCTTTAAATCCTCTCTAGACTTCAGNGGGGTGGGGATATTTTGTAATTTTCTTGTGAAACGTTTAAATCATGGTGGGTAATTTACTGTTTATTCTACCAAATCTAAGTATCGAGTGTTTGAATCAAATATATATGTATTTGCTGTTTGGACTTTGTAGCTTCTGGCTTGTTTGGTCCTGTCTGGACACCAGTTTTTGACCGTTACTAGGTTTTAAAATGTTGTTAAATTCTTCTTGAATTCGTTACTTGCTACTCTAGGTTGGATCTTAAATAAACTCCAATAGCATGGTTTAGTAGGAGAGAATATTATGTTGAGGGGTTGATAAGAAGATTAAACCTAATGATTATTCTCCTACTGGCCTCAACTATCCAGGGCTTAAAGGGGTATAAAGTTAGGCATCAGAGGGGTACTTAAAGTCTAGACCTGTAATAGACTAGGATTAGAATAAAATTCTAAATTAAAGACGTGAGATTTCATCTGCACTACTTAATCCGATCCTTTAGTTCTTTTGTAGACCTGGAGAATTCTAATAAATATGTTATAATGAGGGAGGGAGTTGCCAAAAAATTACTGGATGAAAAATCAAAGCTATCTTTGCTCTGAATACTAAGTTTCAATCTGTGTTTGCCAAACACGAAACCTGGATGAGATTATACAGTTCTAAATCATATCTGGAGAAACATCGGACTTTCAGATTCAAGTTTGGGGAGCTCAGGAATATATATAATAGAGTTGTAGGTCAGTCTTGAACAAACAGGAGCAAGAATATAAATATAGTTTTTACTTTTCTAAACTAGCAAACAAGATTTCTCTGTTGAAAGATTTAAAAATAAATGTTGTTGGATAAGATTTATAGATCTCAGCAGGACGGAGTAGGGTCGGATAGAGTTTGAATTGCTGAATTGAATTTTTAAATCGTCCTGGAGTTTAGTAAATTCAGGAGGATTTTCTCCTCATTAATTACATTAAACCATTTAATCTTTCCCCTCATCATCTTTTTTTCATCCCTATTAATCACCTTTTTGATGCTAATATAAATAAATTATCTTTTACCTCTTTTACTAACCATTTCTCAATTTTTCATTAATTCCTCTCTTACTCCTGTTTTACTCTCTCATTTTCTGTTTATTCTTAAATTTTCTTTCTTTCTCTCTTTCTTTTTTTACTTCTTTTTCATTATCCCTAGTGTGTTATCCAACCTTACATCTCTATATCTATCCTTCTTAAAATCAGGAACAAACACTCTCATAGTTGGGAGTAAAATACCCCCATCTTATCTAGATCATGGGATATTTTTGATAAATTTTCTGCTGATCTTTCAGATTGCGTTCTATCAAAACAATTTTCCACTTACTGCATGACTAAGGCCTAAATTTGGTATAATGGTGTTGCCTCAACTGGTTGAGAAGAGGGGGGGGGGTAGGGTGCTAAATTGACGAGAGAAAGCGAAACGAGAAAGAGGGAAGTCTAAAAGAAAAGAAGAACAACGAGTAAAAAATTTTATGAACATATGATAATCTAGAAGTATCGAGATGTAGAAAATGTGATTTTAAAATTTACACGAGTTTTTTGGGACAGTAATTTCAAAAATCAAGAAACAGAAAAATGGAAGATTTTAAGGAATAGAAAAATAATGTGCTGAAGAGGAGCAATAAATACCAATACAAATATGAGGAACTCAAGTAGATAAAAAGAAGAAAGAAAAATGTTGAAGATATTTAAGATAAAAACGAGGAGAACGGGTTGAGTGGGACGTGTAACTGAGAGAGAAGAAGAATGAATAGGAATAAATTGCAGAAAGATTTCAGGATTTATTGTTGCAGATTTCCCCCCTGATTTATCACGGTTAGGGTTGGATAGCTCATGGTCTAGAACTTAGTACTGGATACAGGTGTGTGTGTGTAGGGGAGTACTTGGAGATATTATTCTCCGTGTTTTGATCTCCTGCAAAGTTGGGGTGTGGAACAAATGGAATGGATCCAGATCATACTGAGAGAGAGGTTCGAATCATTCCTCTTGTTTTACTCCAGGTTGTATTAAACCTAAGCGTGGGCGAATGGCTACATTGTTCTGGGTCGGAGTAAAAACCAACCGAAAGGTTTTGATCCATGATTCAGATTCTATCTTCTCTGTGTTATGAGAGTTGTCAGTAGGAGATAGGGGTTCAAACCTTGTATCTCAAAAATTGGAAAAATGTCAGAATTTTAAATTGAAATTGTTCACATTCCATTGGCAGCGTTCAATCCCATATTTTGAGGAGGNCCTTATATTCTCTGACCTGTGGAAGTATCTGGACCTCAATAACCTCTTGAGGTTCATCTGAGTCCTCAGGAACGGATACTGTCGTCTCACAGGTTGTATTCAATCTTGCTCCGTGCATCATACTGAACACAAATATTTATTAATTTACATGGAACTAGAGTTAGGTTGAATTAAGGATAGAGTTAGGTTAGATTGAGACTGGAGTTTAATAGTTGTTAATCTGCAGAGTTAAAGAGTTAAGACTAGGTTTGACGTGAAGTTAAGAAATATTGAGTTACATTTAATTTTGGACGGATCAAAGTTGCAGTTAAGATAAGAGTCACAGTGAAGTTATATTGAAGTGGATTAAGGTTAACAAAATTGAAGCCAGGACAAAGAATTGCAGAAAATGGAAAATATACATAAAAATGGAGTAGGAATGGGTAAAAATGGAGTAGGAATGGGTAAAAATAAGGTAGAAATGGGTAAAAAAGGAGTAGAAATGGGTAGAAATAAAGTAGAAATGGATAGAAATCCACTAAGAACGGGTTCAAAATGGAGTAAGGACGTATTTAAAATGCAGTTTAAAAAAATTCAATATGCAGTGAGGACGGGTTTAAGATACTATGGGGACAGATTCAAAATACAACAAGGACAAATTCAAAATGAAACAAGGACGGATTGAGAATGTAAAATAGACGGATTCAAATACAGTACAAGCGGGATCAAAATGGAGTTAGGACGGACGGCCGATGCAATAAGGACGGATTAAAAATGCAGTAACTATTAAGAACTGTTAGTTATGAAAAGAACTACGGCTTCAAATATGTAGAGTAAGTACGAAATGAAAATGGAGTTAGGACGGATTTAAAATGGAGGTAGGACGGGTTCAAAATGGAATAAGGACGGAATAAGAATTAAGGTTCAGGTTGGTTAAGAGTAAAGATTGAGAAAGCAGGACGAATTATTTAATTAGTAGGGATTAAGGAAGGATTGGAGTAATAAAGGATTAACAACTGAGTTTAATAACATCAAGGTTTGAGAAGGATGGGAACCAAGGTTTATGTTTCCTGGGAGAAATATTTGTAAATGTCGGGATTTCAAGGGATTAAACTGTGTTCAGAGAAACCGAGGGGAACGATTCTATTTTGAGATGAATCGAATTAATTTAAATTCTGCCAAAATTATGTCTAAAGCTAGTTTCCTTAAATCTCCGCTCTGGGATTAGCTTGAACCCTGGATGCAATTCCAACTCCGGGCTCTTGTATTCACTGACCACACAGTGGAGATATTCAGAACCGGTGAAATGATAAAAGTACAGTTCATGCTGAGCTTTACGACTCAAGGTGTTTAGATCAAAGTTTGCAGATCCAAGATAATACAAATAAACTCAAGTCTGGTCTCGGACTCTTAAAGGGACTGTACGCGTAGTTTTAAGTGACCCTCCATGCAGAGATAGCAATGACCGATTTACAACGGTACCCTTGGAACTCTAATCTAATAAAAAATGTGGACGATAACGTCGTTTTTACTCGAAAAGCGTTTATTTCTATAAATTTCTTCACTGCGCACGTCGTTTTTTCGGAGAAACCACAAATAAAATTTTTTTTTACAAAAACATGATATTTAATTCCTACTTGATCAGACAAGACTTGTAAGGGTACCCTTGTAAATCGGACATTTTCATTCTAGCATGAAGGGTCTCTGGAAATTAGACTTACAATCCCTTTAACCTCAGAAAATACAGAAAAAGGTTGAATAAAGGGGAGAGGAGTAGGAAGGGGGGTTGAAGGAGTAGGAATGGGGGGAGGNNNATTTTACATTCTTCCTTGACACTGATACAAGAATCTGAAAACGTGAGAATACATTATCTGGATGAAGGACAGGGATAAAATAAGAGTTTAGTATGATGAGAAGGAAAACATACCTTTGTTCATGTCTAGCGTATCCCTGGTTAGATACTCCATAGACGGGTTGAGGGTGGGGGAGATGGCTCCCTCGACCCTGCACTCCAGGTTGGATCGGGAGAGGACGGTCGATCACTGACGGGATCGGTGGTGGATGGCTGCCGTGTTTTTTACGGCGGGCCAGGCTGGAGACAATCAGCTCTTGTTGACTCTGTCCTGAACCTGAACCCGGAGATCCGTCCTGGTGGATCATCCTCTCAGGGTCCATAGTAGTTGCGGCAACCGCCAAAAGCGGCATTTAGTATTTCGACAAATGCTCACTTTAACGACGTCTAACAAGGTTTTTGTTCACATAGTTTGAATGGCTGGCTTCTAATTTCAGGCTAACTGAGTCTGTAATTTGAGACTTTGTGACCTATTTTCCAATAATTACAGGATCTTCAGTTTTAAATATTTCTCCGACTACTGAATGTCTGCACTGGGTATATTTGTACCCAGAGAAAAGTATTCCTGTTCTACGCAATTACACGAGTTCTCACTGTTAATCATCTACTTGTGGTTCATTTCCATCCTACTGGTAGAACAAGGAACTAGGGGTTGAGCAAATATTGGTCGGACTGTTTTTCTCCTAGTACAAAATTGAAGATTGGTAAAGGTTAAATACGTTTCTGGTTGAGTAATTTCGTTTGTTGTGTTTTGAAGCTTTTTTGCAGGGTTCAAATTGCCCCGGGTAGGTATGTTAGTTGAAGAATTGAGGTATCAGCTCCAGGTAAGGTTCAAGGTAGGTATATAGGTGAACCTTATCCTTGTCCGAGTTTGATGAGGATTGTGACGTGAGTGTGACAAGTATCCCTGGTCTCTCCAGGACCCTGACACTATGACAGGAACCTAGGGTCTTCTCCAGGTCTTCGTAACACAGCGGGAGCTGGTAATTTCAACGCAGCAGTTGACAACGTCGCACACCTGAAATAATAAAACCATGAACAACATTTCTTTCAACTTATCTCGGCTTGAAATACAAAAAAGTGACAAAGATAAAGTGATTCATTATTATTTACCACGTGATTAATATATTTGTATATATGTATTCATGTATGTATAACACACATGGCCCAGGTTCTTGGATCATAAATTAAAATCTTGATGAAACTCCAACTGAGTATTCATTAATCCTGGAATTATTTATACTTTGAACCAATATACATTTAATCAGAATAATTTAAATTAAATTCAAATATTACAAGTCCTACTTTTCCTGCTTGTCCTGCTAGTCCTACAAGTCCTACTAATCCTACTTGTCCTACTAGTCCTACTTGTCCTACTAGTACTACTAATGCACTACTAGTCCTACATGTCCTTATAGTCCTACTAGTGCACTACTAGTCCTACAAGTCCTTCTAGTCCTACTGTCCTTCTTTTTCTACTAGTCGTACTAGTCGTACTAGTCCTACTTGTCCTTCTAGTCCTACATGTCCTACTAGTCCTACATGTCCTACTAGTCCTACATGTCCTACTAGTCCTACATGTCCTACTAGTCCTACATGTCCTACTAGTCCTACATGTCCTACTTTTTCTTGTAAAAGTACCTCTATGCATGTGCGTAGTGCTTACCAAGCCTAAATATTCCCATGTTTTATTCAGTTTACTAGAGCTTGTGTAATCACCAGGTTTCATGAACCCACTTTCTCTCTCCTGGTCCTAATACTGAGCTAGACTGAACCATGGGAACCAAGCGCGGAGCGGTGAGCGCTGTGCGACGCAGGTTTCCCGCTCTCTCTCCGGAGCATAGTTTTACCGTCTTCATGTGGTCAGAAAATCCCACAGATTTAGAAAATAATAATTTCTGAAAACACATTTTTCTGTCACACAACGCCAGGTTTGTAAACAATGGTTGAGAGCTTTGTAAGGACGGGTTTAGTGTTTTGTTTAAACTCCGGGGTCTGTTTTACCAACAACCCTGAGCTGTTTTCAGCGCATGTCATTATTATTCTTGTGAGTTCTAGGTTCAACTTATCAATCACCCCCCCGGTCCAAACCCAGCCATAGCTCAATACTTTCTTTGTTAGAATATTACTCCTCGACATCTATTTCCGAAGTATCACTTTTGTTTAATCTCTGAGGCATCTTGCTTTTTTTCTCCAATGCATGTTACAATACATAAACAAACGTGTTTTTATTTTTATTTTTTATTTGTAATATTATATGTTTATATGTGTATATTTGTCCTTCTATTTATGTATCTATTTATCTATCTATCTATCTGACAATCTATCTATACATCGAAATATCTATTTATTTATCTTGATATCAATTTAAAGCTTTCCCTTTGAAACCTACTATTTCCCTACCAAATAGTCTATTATCTACTATCTATTTCTCTATCTGTCTATTATCTACTATCTNTTTCCGAAATATCTTTTTTGTTCAATCTATAAGGCATCTTGCTTTTATTCTCCAATACATGTTACAATACATAAATAAACGTGTTTTTATTTTTATTTTTTATTTCTAATATTATATGCTTATATGTGTATATTTCTTCTTCTATATATCTATCTATTTATCAAACTATTTATCTCATTATCTGTTTTAGCACTCTTAAAATCTATCTATTTATCAAAATATCTATCTATCTATCTGACAATCTATCTATACATCGAAATATCTATTTATTTATCTTGATATCAATTTAAAGCTTTCCCTTTAAAACCTACTATTTCCTTACCAAACTGTCTATTATCTACTATCTATTTCTCTATCTGTCTGTCAGTTCATCTATCTCTAAAAGTACCTATTTAACTGTCTATTCTTACATCTATATTAACTAACTATAATTTCCTATTTTCAATGGTTTAAATTTGAGCAAATTCCGTCCCTCCGGTATCCAGGTTCTTTTGTCAGACCAAATTATCCGAGAAAATTGATTAATATTAAGGTTGGAGGTAGTGGAGAAGGGAAGGACGGAGAACAATACTATTTCCCTGATTTTTCTGCCTGGCTGAGAAAGAACAGAGGAAGGGGATCTCAACCTCTCTCAGAATACAAAGAAGTCATCACATGAATGTGGTATTCAAGGGAACCCGGAGAATGAGATCTAATCCTAGAGCATAGATCAACCGTGTAATTGATTTATCCTGAAACCTGGAGAATCCTAGTACAACCTGGAGAAATTAAACCATAGAGAAGCTATGCATAAACAACCCTTGAATACTATAGTTCTGATTATCATGAAAACTAATGAAGGACGGAGAAAAAGGTAGGATAGGGCGGAGCTGTGTAAAGAATGGCTACTGGAGAAATATCATTACAAACCAAGCCTGTATACGAATACAAGCTAGAGGAGAGGAAACCGTGGTTTAGGTGATCATGAGATAAATTATGTAAAATTGGGAGTAAAGTTGTGAGATATCTCCTCCAGCTACAGGAGTAGGTTCAATTGTTTGACCTGAGGGGAAAGATTCTCCAGAATCCCCAGGAGCTGCCACATTCTCATCTCTCATCTCTCATCCTGGAGTCATTCATCCTTTAGTCTTTCACTCATTCGTCATTCATTCTTTAGACATTCATCGTTGAGTCATTCATCCTTTAGACATTCATCCATTAGATATTCATCCTTGAGTCATTAATCCTTGAGTCTTAATCCTTGAGTCATTCATCCTTTAGACATTCATCCTTTAGATATATTAATCCTTGAGTCATTAATCCTTGAGTCATTCATCCTTTAGACATTCATCCTTTAGACATTCATCCTTGAATAATTCATCCTGGAGATTCCAATCCATAAGGCATCAATAAAATTAGCATCCATATCACTATCTCATTCATCCTAAAGACATTCATCTTGTGTTTATTCATCCTGGACTTAAACTAACGACTGTAAATCTTATTCTTCAAGTTTAAACATTTTTCAATGGTTCAGCTCCGGGGCGAGTCATTTATCATTCAAGAATTTGTGAATATTTTAAGATGGAAAAATCGAGAATCCCGAATGGAAATATTTGTTAGTTTCTGGCATTTGTTTATTTACTCTTCAAAGTTATATTTATTTTCTCTCTCAGGGTTTAATAACAATGCTTGTAAAATAATTTTAAAATTCAATCCAATCAAAATCAAATGCAAAAAGGTGCATTACTCAAGCTAAAGTTAATATTGAAGATAATTAAATACAAATACTTAAAGTGTAATAGTTCAGCCCATTTTACCTAAACAAGTGATCTTAAAACTGATATAAATTTATATTCCACTTTATTATGACGATCGCTGCATTAAAAGTGAATATTTAAGGAAAAGAAAGAAAAGGTTAGCTACTTTTTAACTTTTTATTATTGGTAAAAATACAATTGGTTTAAAATACGAGATGAGAAAATTCCAAATTGCTGAATGGGAAAAATGAGATGGGGTAATATTATATGCTTATATGTGTATATTTCTTCTTCTATATATCTATCTATTTATCAAACTATTTATCTCATTATCTGTTTTAGCACTCTTAAAATNTTCTGTGGATTGATCTTGGTTAAAGAATGGAGTAAGGTTAAAGCACTGATGGAGTAAGGGTAAAGTAAGGATTGAGTAAGGATAAAGCAGGGATGGAGTAAGGATAAAGCAGGGATGGAGTAAGAATAAAGCAAGGATGGAGTACGGATATAGAAAGGATGGAGTAAGGATGAAGCAAGGTTGGAGGAAGGATAGAGCAAGGATAGAGTAAGGATAATAAAGTAATGATAAAGCAAGGAGGTTAAAGCAAGGATGTAGCAAGGATAAATAAAGGATGGAGTAAGAATAAAACAAGGATGGAGTAAGAATAAAGCAAGGTTGGAGTAAGGATAAAACAAGGATGTAGTAAGGATAAAGCAAGGAGGGAGTAAGGATAAAGCAAGGATGGAGTAAGAATTAAGCAAGGTTGGAGTAAGAATAAAACAAAGATGTAGTAAGGATAAAGCAAGGATGGCGTAAGAATAAAGCAAGGATGGAGTAAGTATAAAGTAAGGATGGAGTAAGGATAAAGCAAGGATGGAGTAAGGATAAAGCAAGGATGGAGTAAGTATAAAGTAAGGATGGAGTAAGAATAAAGCAAGGTTGGAGTAAGACTAAAGCAAGGTTGGAGTAAGGATAAAGCAAGGATGGAGTAAGGATAAAGCAAGGATGGTGTAAGAATAAAGCAAGGCTGGAGTAAGGATAAAGCAAGGATGGATTAAGGATGCAATAATTATCGGGTCACATGATATTCTGTAAACTTGCAGTACATTGTACATTATTAATTATCTATGTTTGTAAACTTCTATGTAAAAAACCATTATTTATTTGAACTGCGTTTCAAATGAATACGTAGCATGGTTAGCTTAAACCCGTTCTAATACGTACATTCAACTTATAAACATGTGAACATGTGTGGAGATAGCTTAACACAGTTATATCTATCCTCGCTAATTTTATAAAAATGAAGTTTGAATGAATGATGGTTGAAGTAAGAATGTTGAAAATATAGACTAATACTAGAATAAAATGGAGGCAGACTAAAATATCTCTGTAGTAAGAATGGAAAAAGGATAAAGTAAGAATGGACAAAAGCTGGATTAAGAATAGAATAAGAATGGAGAAGTTATGGATTAAGACTGAAGTAAGAATGGAGGAAAGATGTTGTAAGAATGGATTAAGGATGGACTAAGACTAGAGTTAACATGCAGAAAGGATAAAGTAAGAATGGAGAAAAGAAGGATAAAACTGGAGTAAGAATGGAGAAAGGAATGGGTTAAAATGGAGCAAGGAAGGAGTCTAGACTCAGGGTAAGTTGAAAAAAAGTAAAAATGGGTTGACAACAGAGGAAGGAGTAAGGATGGATTTAGGACTGGAGCAAAGAAGATACACCAGGAACCTACAAATAGAATGTACTGCAATTTCTGGGAGAACGTCAACCAAACCAGTGCTAATCAGATTGAGTTTTGTTTATATTCCTCCCAGAAACGTGCAGTACACCTATTTTGAAAACAAAGAAACTGATCACTATTTGATTCATAGTTTGAAATATCTCAGATGCACACTACCAGGCAGGTTGCATGGATAGGGATTATAAAACTAGAATTGGGTTGAGTATTCAGTTCCTTTATGTGAATTCCATGGTTTGGTGTACGAATAGAGTAAGAATGGAAACTTATTTAAGTTTTAAGAAAGATAAAATAAGGTCAGGTAAAGCTGGGATGGGCTGAACTATAATTTAGCTTTGGTAGCTTGAAACATCAGACACTGGGCAGTACCGTGTCTAAACAACTGACGGATTACGTCCCAACTTCGATCAACGATTTCTCAGCGGATAAAAACCCCGCGCAAAACCTAGATTAGAAATCATCAAGTTGGACCCAGACACCAATCATATTCACGATATACGTATCAACTCTGTGAGTAGATAATGCTGATAGAATTATAAATTGAATCATTTTCAAAACTCGGTTAGAGAAGTCAAAATATTCTCATAACAATAGTGATAAGATCTGAGGAACCTGAACACCGAACATTCTTTCTTCCTATTCCCCTACCTACTCCCACCCTACTCAAGAATCCTCCATCCCCCCACCCCTCCCCGGGCATTCCCCATTTTCTCCTTATTCTCCATTCTACCCCTTATTTGACATCCTTCTCCTTATTTCACATCTAATTTCTTGTTCCACGTCCACTTCCTTCCTTATTCCTCATTCTTCTTCTAATTTAAGACTTTTC